ACAGAGGAGGAGGAGGAGAAAATATGAACAAAAGAATGGAGAGTGTTGAGAGAGGGAAGGAAAAGGCTAAATGTTTGGAGCCAAAAGTTTTTATTTAATTTATTATTTTTATTTTATGTATATGTGTGTATTGCCTGCATGTAGGTAAGTGGACCCGTGTTGTGCAAGGCCCACAGAGGACAAAAGAGGCTGTCAGATTCCCTGAAACTGGAGTTACAGACAGTTCTTAGCTGCCATGTGGGCGCTGGGATTCAAATCTGGGTCTTCTACAAGAACAGTCAGTATTCTTAACTAGTGAGCCATCTCTCCAGCCCCTGCAGCCAAAATTTTTTCTCCCAGCTCCAATGTCACTCTTCCCTGAGGTCAGCCAATGAACAGCACCTCAGGCATTTGGGCTCCAGTTCTGAGCTACTTGTGGGCCAGAGAGACAATAGGAAGCCCAGAAAGTGCTCTGTGAAAATCCTGAGGGCTAGTAATTAAACCTAGGGTAAAAGGGTCTTCAGTCTCACAATGAAGGTAAATCTGGGAAACCTGGTAAATATCATGCCACACCACCTGAAGTAAAGCGATATCTCAACCTTGGAAACTGGGAGAAAGACAAGCAGGATCTCACCTGGAAGTCATGGCTGCAGACTAACATTGCCAAGAGGTTTTTCTAAGAAATGCATATCTAGAGGGATCTAGAATTCAGCAACAATACTGAAATTAGTTGAAGATGGTCTTACAGACAGGGTGTACAAGTGCAAACTCTCTGGAAGGGGGCACCATCATCCCAAAATCAAAAATTATTTTACAAGAAGCAATAGGCCACAGTGTCAGATAGTGTTGCCATACAAAAAAAATGTTTACTTGACTATGAATGAAAAACAACAGGAATAGCAGAAATCAAGATTCTCCCCAAACTTTGGATTGGCATATTATGAAAGTATATGTGAGAGGTAAATTATAAACCCAATATTATTTGCAAGGCATATAAACAAAAAAATAATAAAATAAAATGCCATAGTGAGGAGTGGGGATGAACACCTATAATCTCAGAACTGGGATATTAGAAAATAGAAATCATGAGTTTGAGACCAGCAAGTTCTAGGTCACTTCAACTAAAGAAGGAGAGAATATATACGTGTGTGTGTGTGTGTGTGTGTGTGTGTGTGTGTA